GCAAATGGAGCAAGGTAATTTATACACAAAGCTACTGTAAGCCCAGTCTTTAAGAAGTTAGAAATCATCCAACCTATCTATTTAAAGCAAACAGTATACAACTCTGGCCACCAGAGTGAGATAATATGGTGGTTTTTCATAGTTTCGTAGTTGGTAGGGTCGGAAGGGACCTGAGTAGATCATCAAGTCTGACCCCCTGCCGTGGCAGGAAAGAGTACTGGGGTCAAACGACCCTGGCGAGGTGTTCATCCAGTCTCCTCTTAAAGACCCCCAGGGTAGGAGCCAGCACCACTTCTCTTGGAAGTTGGTTCCAGATCCTATCCGCCCTGACATCAGGAGGCTTTACTTCACTGTCAGGGCGGCTAGGATCAGTTTTCAACTTGTGGCCCACGGACCCCTGGGGTCCGCAGATGATGTCTAAGGGGTCTGCGAAAAATGATCAAAAGAATGTGAATACCCACACTTACAATTTAAAGGGGTCCGCACCTCCATTCGAAATTTCCAAAGAAGTCTGCAAATGAAAAACAGTTGAAAACCGCTGAGATAGCAAAATAGTGCACTCTTTCTCGGCTAAACAGAATAGGTGAGCAGCTGACATTTTGTCTTCTAGTCTCTACACTTCCTACAGCACTACAGCATAGAATTTAGGGCATATCATCCTTCATTCCCCATCTCCCCAAAGTCCACCAGTGCCCCTACACTTCTTGAAGTCCTGTGTTTCTAACAAACTAACCCAGTTCCAGCACAAATTGCTTTATTTCTTTTCTGTATAGATTCTTATGCTGCCCTCATCATCACTAAGGATATCTGAGTGCTTTCCCACAGTGCATTAAGCGACTTGACGAACTTCTGTCATGTATGATTAATTTCCTCTCCTTCTCTTCTCAAGGGAGAAATTGTGCATGCGGTATAATGTTTTGGTAGGTTTTAATTTATTTAATAAATATCTGCATGCTACTATGTGTTTATATTACTGAAGGCAATGTCATATAAACCCTCTTGGAACTTGGAGTGGGTCTTGCTGTGGTTTGTGGTGGTTCTTAGGTCTTCCGGGAGTTTGTTGCAGTTTGGGATTTCCAGTAAGACAGCTGTAATGTGCTTTGGCTAAACTTTACCCTTATAGTAGAAAAGCTCTATTCTCCTCAAATGTGAACCTCATGTTTTATCCTTTTGCTATTTAGTTCTCGTGGGATCTGTGTTGTCTCCAGCGCTAGCAGCATGTATCCTTTTAATGACAAATAGAGTAGAGGTAGTTATCTGTGTTAGTCTGAAGTCAGGCAGAAGGCAGGGTAGATTTGCACTTCATAGACTAACTAAGAAATGTATAGCATGAGCTTTCATAAGCACTGGGCTTACACCCGATGCTGTAGATGCTGCAGGAAGCAGTGACTGGAATGCAAAGGGTAGGGAAGGAGTAGGCACTGCTGAGAAAGGCAGAAACATTGAACCCCTATTCTAAGCATACCTAGGGTAGTTTTTTTTAATCTCCCTGAATTTAACATCTGTTGTAGAGTCAGCAGCTCTAGTGTATGCGAGACAGACAGCACTTTGGCCTAGATGATGTAATCTATTCCAATCATTAATCATTGTCAGGTATGAGCCAGAACACAGAAGTAGGTATCATCAGCTGCCTGCTCCTGGGGTTCTTCTTATGTTATAACCACTGTGTCATGGGCATGTTAGTAGGGGAGTATTTTAGAATAGACATTCTGGCACTTGACAGATGTATCAGGACCTAACACTGTTGTGCAGTTGCCTTGTTCACATTTTTCATGCAGGTTTTAATTCTCAGACTCTTCCTCACCCACTCCTATTCCATCAGAGATGTCTTAACTACACAAATGGGTTAAAATGTTGACACAATCCCTTTTATGTATTCTGTCCTCAAGTGTCTTCAGATCTCTGCCTTCACCCTCACTCTGCATCAGCCCTGTTCATTCCAGCAGTTTGGCCAAGACTGTACAGGGAAAATAAGAGACAGAAAGGAGGGGCCTCAACAGATCTGGTAAACTTGTTCACATGCTATACCTGTCCCAGTGAGGAGCCAGCGCTCTGTTATTTTCAGTGGAACAAAGGGTCTTCAAGAGTAAAAAAAGTTAATGTGACCCTGGCTGTGTACAAAATTAAACAGTTGAACAGGCTTTAGGGTTTTGAATTAGAGACTTTGGCCTATTATTTTCATAGTAAACAAGCTCGAAAGTTCATGCCAGAATTTGGAAATTGATTGATTAACATATACAGAAGAAAACATCTAAAACAAGATATTAAAGACAGGAAGAGGGGACTAGAAGGGGTCTCCCAGGCTATCAACTCCAGTCCCCAGAATTGGGTACTTACTGGTATGACAAATAAATGTGTTTAATTCCCTTGAGCCTTTGACCCAAAAGGTGTTTTAAAACCTGCTTTACTGTTGCATCACTAAAACAATTGTGGCTTATATGTACAGAATCCTCAGTTCTTTTTACTTTCAAGCACACTTTCATAAATGTTTGAAAATATAAGCAAAACAAAATCAACACAACACTTATAATGTGAAGGCTAAGAAACTACTGAATCGAACTGTTGCAAAAGCCCTTCAGAAAGAGAATGATGCAGGTTTTGGTAAACATCCAGGCTAGGGACAGAAGTTACACATAAACCAGTTTAAGTGATCAGAAACTGGTTTAAACCTGTAACAGAACAGAAGTTCAGTGCACATAAACCAGTTGCAAAATGGCTGAAATTGGTTTAAGATAAACCTGGTTGAATGTAGTATCAGATATAACTGATTTAGGTCAAACCAGTTTATGAAACTTCTGTCCCATACCCCTTTCCTGGTTCAAGTTAAGTCAGAGTCCCTCAGTATCCCTCCATGCTTTGCAGTCCTGGGCTGGGCTAAGCTGGGCTGGCTGCTCCAGAGAGCAGGGCTGGCCCCACCCCTCTGCTCCCTAGCCAGAGCAGTGATGGCTGGCTCACTGGCTGCTTCACTGGCCACCCCAGGCAAAACCCAGCTGGGGCCTAGGGCCAGGGAGCGGGGTTAAACTCCCCTTCCCCTGAGTACAGAGCTGCCCTGCCCTGCTAAATTCACTGCCGGCTGTGACTGTGGACTAAATCCCAGAGGTACCTGGAAACAGGAAGAGGAAGTGATGAGCACCCCTGCAGTGTCCTGCTGCTGTGATTGTGGGCTGCAAATCCCAGAGACCTTGAGGGCCACAGGAAGAAGTGAACACGCGGACGAGCTGTGTTGAACGCTCACTTCAGAGAAACAATTATTCTTGTTCAACCTTTTATGAATTCAATGCCACTACCTTTGTCCCCACCCACCCCCTCCTCAGCCTGGCTGACGCCCCCACCCTGATGACCCTCCAGCTAGCTCCAGGCTACAGCTTGGCCACATCTCCTTCTCTTGAGCAGGGAGGGGGGGGAAAGCCTTGGAGGGCCTTTTGTCTTCCCTTCCCTTTGGCAGTGCCTGGCAGGAGCGCTCTAGTACTCCCCGGTTTCTGGCATGAGCCACTGCAGACACGTGACTGCAAAAGTGAATGTCTGCTCATTTGCTTATTGGTTCAATCTCTACAGCTTAGACTAACCTGCAAAGACTGAATCAATTCAGCCTTGAGCTTTTTGACTTCTGAACTTAGCCCCAAAGTTTGATGTAATTTAAATACCAGCACGAATGAACATGGATCTTAAGTTCCTTAACCCTCAGGATATCTCAGTGGTCTGATTTTTAGGTCAGATTTTAGGTTAGTCAATCCTGTCTATTCTAACCTATGGCACTGTTAGGCAGAGGGCATGGCAAGATAACACCTTAGGCTGCTTGCAGACATGAAAAAAAAAACTTTACTGGAAGAAGCAGTGCATTACTTTGACCTGGCTCTGCAGCGTCTGTATGGATTGGATGCATCAGCAGGGCTTTTTGGCACTTTTATCTAATAGCTGATTCACTCAGCTATTAGATAAAAGCGCCAAAAAAGTCCCACTAAAGCGCTTGATCTATACAGACGCTGCAGAGCCGGGTCGAAGTAACATGTTGTCTCTTCTGGGCATGTGCTGGGCTCAGCGCAGGAGCGCACCAAATTTAAAGTCAAGCATGGTTTTTGTTTTGTTCATGTCTGCAAGCAGCCTTAGAGACTACCTGGTTCAGAGCCATAAGCTTTTGTGGGGAACAGCCGACTTTGTCAGATGCTACTGAACTGTTGTACTAAGAAGGTTATGGTTTCATTTCTTTCCTACAGACACTCTGATGGAAATAAATGCCTTTTTATATAGTGGAGCTGTAGCTTTGAGGAATCACCCTTTGCTCTTTAACAAACCACAACAAATCTAACTTTATGGAAACATGGGTTGAAGTTCATTATTGAGGGCTGAAGGTTACTATTTTCATGACAAAAGCACTTAGGCACCCCAAAGAGATTGGTACCCCACTGTAGGAACACTTTTCAAACATCAGATACAAGCCTTGCCAGTAATTTGAACAGGCACCTTTCCTACTCTGGAAGGTATCCCTCCCAGTCTGTGTTTTCTCTCACACAGAGACGCTTCCCGATGGAAGTTATGCTAGTGGCCAGCCTTTGGAAATCACCAGAGGAAGCTACTTAGACCAGCTAAATTGGACATGTGCTTTGGAAGGTGTTAAATGCTTTGAGGCTTTTTGGAAAATAAAGATATGCTATGACTGTGAAGTAACAGAATAGTATCTACTCACTGAATTTGTTTGAGACCTATATAAGTAAAACTACCTGTTTACCTCTATTTCTAAGGACAAGGAAAATGCATGTATTTATCTTAAGCAATCAATTTTCTAATTTAAATACAAATCAAATATAAATTTATACACATAGATACCCATACACAGGGTGAACACCAAGGTTTTACTTAAAAAACAAGGCTTGTACTGCTCCAGTAATGATTGCAATTAGATTTGATTGCCAACTCTGTGATGAACCTCATGGAGCCTTTAAACCCTGACAGTGTTGTTCCCTGGATGTGATTCTCACATCTCTTCCCTGCAGAAATGGGCTTGTCTGTTGTGAAAGTTTGCTTGAGTTGCTATGGCTACCCCAGCTGGAGCTCGCGGTACCGTACACAGACTTCAGCTCCTGCTGCTATAATGCTGTAGTTCTCCAGCCCCCCCGGGCCGTTCCCTGCGGGACAGACAAACAGATCAGCCCTGCACTGACTCTGAGGTTAGTCTACATGTATTTGCTATTAAAAGAGAGGAGATGGAAATTATTTTAGTCTAGAAACATGGGCCAACGGATACCTGTTAATCTCTTTGCATTGCTTTGGAATGGCTGGAAAATAAGGGGCAGCTAACTTTAGAGAGGTTCCCACTAATTAACATCAAGATTTTTCCTATTGCATTAGTTCTTCTCTTGGGGTTGGGGTGGTGCAGGTGCTAAAGGGCACAGTTGACACTCCAGTGGTCATAAATTTGAGGCCATAGCAGAAGTGCTCAGGGCAGGGCCTGTTAGATTCAAACAAAGTCTGCGAATTCTGCTAAATACCTGTCATAGGGATGCAAAAAAAGGAAAGGAGTCTTCCTCCATCCCACTGTCCTCTGATTTAGTCCAACAGACTACATAGGAAAAAGAGATTAAAGTTATTTTGGGGCTAAAGTTGTGGAATGTCTGATTCTGTAAGAAGCTGCTAGCTCAGCCCCACTGTAGCGATTAACATCTAAATTGATGAGAGTTGCAGAGAGATCACTGGCAGCTATGGAACAAAAAAGCAGCAAGACCACCTTCTCCTGCCAGTTACTCATTAAATGATGGCAAAAGGAGGTGAAGGAGCAAGAACCAAGCTCCCCAACTTTGTTGCACAGAACAGCCTAAATTTAAACAGCTATGAGGGAAGGGAAGGCAGAAAAAAGCCCGCTTGATTCTGAGAACTCAGTTATCTGCAGCAGCCCAGGAGAGCTGCAGGGCACCTGTTAGTGCTGGCCTCAATTGCTGACTGGCAGCCCAGACCCACAGATCCTCTCAGCAGAGCTAGAGCAATCCAGATGAACACGCTGCTATTATCTCTCGGACGCCTGAACTGTATGTGAAGCTAGAAAGTTCAAAGGAGCTCAGTGTACATGTAGGCATCTAAAAGTGGCTAGAGTTTCAGAACAGCTTGCAGAGTTGGGTGTACGTTGGGTGCTGAGCAGTTCGGAAAATCTGGCCTTCAAGTGTAAACTTCTTAAACTTCTTCTTGCTGATTTAATTGAGAGGTTTTGGGGTTGCAAAGGGATTCTGGTACCACATGGACACCAGGAACGTGATGCAGAAAAATTGCGAGACAGCCCTTTAGAAGGTCAGTGGTGAAGCTACAAAAATAAGTTTCCTGTGGAGTACCTTTAGCTTTTGTCCTGATTTACCCTCCTGAAAGAAAAAGCAAAGAAAATCTAGGCCCCTTGTGGAGCCACGTGAATTAAGACAAAATTATTAGACTAAAAAAAAAATGTGCTGTAAGAACACAAGGCAAGATTTGGAAGGAGTATACAAAACTGGTCTGGATGGCAGAGCATGAGATGGTTTTAGTGGGAGCAGCAGCATCTCCTGGTCAGAGTTGTGAACTGCAGCACACTCATTTGTTGTCAGCTCCCAGCCATTAATGCCGGAGAACAACATTTCGAGACTCGCAGTTTATGTTATAGATCTATTTGTTTTGCATTTCCTAACTTTTTAAACCTGCAGCCTCAACACTGTGTTACTGTATGTTTGTTATTTTGAATTCTCAATATAAAATGAACACAAAAGCCAACAATAATACAACATTCACCCTTGTAGACTTGGAGATCAAAGCAGGAGACGGCTTTCTCTTCCACAGTGATGTGGAGTCATCTGTATTCTACGGGTGGAATTTTAAAAGAAACATTTAAGAGATGCATTTGTAATACACAGAATGGAGGTGAATTGCTGCTTATGTGAAACTCTTAGCCTTAACACATTTATTTAAAACTGTAACCTAGAATTGTATTAAAATAAGTTATTGTCTTTAATTTTCTTGTGATTTTTGTTTTGTGGGGAGGGGGAAAATGGTAGCTGCAACCCTTGGAGTTAAAGTAGTTGCAACCTGCGGTGCTCTTGGAGTGAAGCGTGAGAGGATTTGACTTTGTTCCGAGTACATACAGTCATGTTCCTGCCCTCAGATGAGTGGATGCTTTGCCTCACTGAGCATTGTGGATCGTGTAGAAAAAGTCTAATCTGAGTGTGTCTGAAGGAACAGCGTGTTTATCTGGCCAATCCTCCCATGCCTTGGTTCCGCTTTTGCAACAAGAAGCCAATAATACTTCCTTATCTCACAGGATGTCACACTAGTATTTGTCGGTTGTTCAGACAGTATAAGTATCTACACACACACAGTCAAATAGGTGGGATTCAGCCTCCTCTGCTGCTCTTCCAGTGAAGTCAGGTGAGGAGTAGGCAAGGTAGAGGGACTCTTCCCACCCCTTGTTTTTACTGCCTAAAGTTTGTCACAAATCAGCAGACACTCCTCCAACTCATACTCCACCCTCCTCACCCCCACGCTGCACTTCAGCACAAAGCACTGGCCAAGACTGCACACTTTGCAGATACAGGGCCTGATGCTGATGACCCCGTTACTCTGACTTCCGTAGGTTTCCATGATGGTGGGCATGTGATCGTTCCTTTTACATACAGTATTCCACGGAGAAAGGGGTATTCTTGCAGGACTATATTCATTTGATGATACCTTTAAGCATACATATCACAACAGTAAAACTAACAGGATCTTTTGGGATAAGATGCAAACACAACCCAGCCTAGCTTTTCTTGTACAGTTACCATGATGTCACAAAAACCCAATGATGTCTGTGCATAACAAGATAGACCCCAGTTGCTTGTGTAGTAAATTAAGTTAACTAGACACTGTGAAGGCTTCAAGTGGACTGGGTAGTAAAATATGGGAATCCTGCTTTCTGAAGTGTCCAAGAAAATAACACCCTTGTATGTTTAAGTGTGCTGCTCATTCACAAAGACAAAGTAGAGGCACTGAGGTAGGGGCTACTAATTATTATTATTATTATTTATTTGTATTGCAGTAGCACTGAGATGCCTAGACCAGGTTGGTGGGCCATTGTACTTAATATTGTACAAGTACATAGAAAATTATAGTTCCTGACTCTCAGAGCCCACAGACTGGAAATGAGCTGTTAACACATGGGTGAAACAAAACCACAGGAAACAAAAAAAATACCAGGCAGGATGAATGAGTAATAACAGGATCCGTTAGGACAGACTTGCCATTTGCCCAGTCCATTGATGGATGACATCAATTGTCCACAGCAATTTGAAGTTGTCATACCAGGTGCTAGGTCACTGTCAAGTAGCGATTCTCCATTGGTAGCACGGTGGAGGTGTTTCTTAACGAGTGATTTGAAGTACAAGAGTACAGGAACAGTACATTTTGAAGGGGACATTTTTCCATCTAGTGGGGCAGTACAAGAGGAAAATGCAAAGGCTGACTTTGAGCCAACAGATGTTCTAGGCTCCTGTCTTTGCCAGAGTGAAGGGAACATTCAAAATCAAATTCATGTAATAGGATGGACAAGCAGGGAGCAGCTAAATTATGAATGGCTTCAATGGGGGAAACATGAAGATGCTGATTTGATGGGACAGAACGAGAGGGAATTGTCTATGCAATATGCAAATCTGCTTCTATCTTCCTTTTCCTTGCTCCAAAGCATAGGCACTGACTTGTGTTTTTGCTGGGGGGGGCCTAAGATGATGGACAGATGGAAAATTTTATGCGTTTGAGGTAACAGCCCTCTTCCTGAGGGGGGCCATGTACTCATGGGCACCTCTGCTCCAAAGGGCTTTTTGTAATCTTGCTTTGTTTGTTCGGATCCAATCTTTCTGTCTTCCTTTCCTACTCTTTTACTAGCTATGTTGTTACAGATTATTGACACTTATATTGAACTTCACCCATTTTTCCAACAATTGAGCTCATAATCAGGGTGGGTCTGCTAGACTCCAGTTATTACAGCATGGCCATTTCATTAATACAGCATGGCATATTTGCATTACCTTAAAACTACGACAGCAACTCAACTGGCCTCTAAAAGCAAAGAAAGGGAATTAAATGCACACCTCAGCAAATAGCAAGGCCTGAATGTTTTGTGAGCTACAAGCATCCTTAATCAGCTGATGTACAGTTCCACTTGCTTGAGGGAGTACAAATAAAACTCCATTTAGTCCATTTGCATTCTCTTGCCTCAGGGCTTCCATTATTTAGTAAGAAAAAAATCCCCAAACAAGAGAAAATTAACACAACTTGCTCAATAATAACCAAGACAGTCTTCTCCAGCTTCTCAAACGAAAGAAATGGAGAGAGACAATTTATCGTACCCTTCAAGGTACTTCCATCCCTACCACATTCCCCTACTCAGTTTAGGCTTTTATACAGCTCCAAAGCTGGCTCCCATTCTGGGCTCCCAGTCTGCCTCCACTGGGGAATTGCAGCTCCCGGAGTACCTGCTCTTACAATGTGCTATGGCTGTAACAGGCCCAGGGGGTGCCCAAATGCGCCTGCAAGCCACAAATTTAAAAAGGCAAAAGGCAAAAAAAACCCACAGGTGCCAAAGCTGCAATTCCCAAATTGTTATTTAAAGCAATAAAAGCTACTCTTTGGTAACGGCTTTTGAAAATTGAGCCACGGATTTCTATTTATTAATTTAATTACTGAATAACTCTTTATTTATTCAGAAGCAGGTTAGCAGCCTGACGTTACGTGTATGTTCTAATGTTGTAGCAATCTTGATCTCCTTTGAGTTGTCTGAAGTGCATTTCCGTAGTGCGCTCCTATAAAGAAAAGCATCTTGTACTCGACCTTTGTAGCATTGCTGTTCAGAAATCTTAGAAATCATAAGTCAGACCTCTCACCTCAAGTAATAATTATTTACTTAAAAATAAATTTATCAACATAAAAATGCATTATGTGTTCTTTTTATTTTCCTGCTGTTTTTTTCAAGTATATTTCTCCACAACCATGAGCATAGAAACTTAACTTTATTTTCAAATGAAAGCTAAGAGTCACACATATTCATATGGTTCCAGTAGCTGAGCCTTTGAAAACACCAGTTATCACAAGATGTGTAACAGAAAAGGTGGCAAGTCTACTTTTGATTATCACAAATGTCTTCTCATGTGTCTTTAAATTATTGATATATTTTGGCCTCTTTTCTGTATCCTAAAATATGTTTTGTACTTATCATCTCCATTTAAAACATTACCGCACTATAGGCCCTTACAGATTAAATTAAGCCATATCTCGGTGCTGACCATCCTCTATATCCTGGAAGGCACGCAAGCTATTTTAAAAAGGTCAAAGAGCCATAATCAATTCTCTATTCATCCCAGGCAAAGGGAAAGGAAACCACAAGCAGATCCCTTTGCTACATGCAGAACACCTACTCATATTAGGCCTTCTCTTGGGACTGTGGAAGAAGAGATGCTGACAACTGGGAAGGCAGTGTCCCCATCTCCTCCCAGGAGTAGCCCAAAAGGCTTGGAAATTGCACGTCCTGTTAATACCTGCTTTGATAATGTCTGATTTATGTCTAACAACCTTTTATTTTTATTTCTAGCTAAGAACAACATGCCCTTTGTAAAATATCCTAGGACTGCAGAGCCTTTCTGGAATGAATGGGACAGGAAAGCCCAGAAAAATGGATTAAGACACGCTATTTATGCTGTAAATGGGGATCACTATACTGGGGAATGGCTGGACAATTTAAAACATGGTAAAAATATTGCTTCTTAGAAACTATAATATACTTTTAGATTTGTTATGATCCTCTGCAGGGACTTGTGATTTTTTTTTTTTTACCTGCTTCTGCCGGCCAATGCATTTGCATGTGGTATGATATATTTAGGTTAAAATTTAAAATGTTAAGGTAAGATTTCAAGTTAAGATTCAATTGACAGGAAAATGTCATTTAAAAGTATTCAGACACTTAGGTTAGGTATTATAAATAACCAACTCATTTTGAGCTCGTTTTTTTTAGTAAATGTGTTTGTGGTTGTGTGATGGCAAAATTAATAAAAAGAAAAGTAATTTGCAATCCTAATGCACGGAAGACATGGAGATGTTGAATTTTTAAGTGGGAACAAATGAGTATTTAATCTAATTTGCTCATTTAATATAAAATCAAGGGTTTATGATTAAGTCCTGACCTTAAAGAAAGTGATACGGACTGGTCAGGGCTGGCGTTTGGTGCCTGTGCAGATAGGAGCAGAGACAGATTCACTTAATATGTTAAAAGGTAAAGTTCTACCTTAAAAAAAATGAAATGGTTCTAAGAACATAAGTTGAGGTGAACTGGTTGTTAAACCTAACTGTACTAATCTCTCCTCAGTCATATTTCCTATTGTAAGAACACCTGTCTTTTTCTATTTGAATGCAAACAAAAATGTAGATTGTTATCCCTCTTTTCCTTCTTCTGCATTCACTCAACACCCACAGAGGGATCCCATGTTCTTGACCTACTCCAGGTGGCAGAGCCCTCTCACAATTCCTCCTTTCTTGTGAAGAAATATACCTACCACAACTAAAACCCACTGTTTTTCACACCTCTGCTATGAAACGTACTAAAAATGACTGTGCCAAAACCATAACCTTAGTCATGGCTTATGAATGCCAGCGATAGAGTATAAAATGAGAAAAAAGAAAAACAGATCTGCCCTCCCAATCTCACAGGGGCAGTGACCTCGCATGGCCAGAAGGAAGAACTACAATGAAACTAAAAACTATTGGGCGCCTATACATGTGCAGCGAGGCTGCTCCGAGGTGTTGTAATTACAGTGCATCGGAGCAGGCTCGATTATTCGAGTCTGCTGGAGCATGGTAATTACTGTACTGCAGCTGACTCATGTATCAGCATCCCCATGCTTAAAAATGGCGGCAGGGGCACTTTAAAGCTCGTCCGACAAGCTTTAGATAAAGTGATCCCACCACTATTTTTAAGGGCAGGGACAGTGATACACAAGATGCTCTGGGTGCTTTAATTAGAGCGGCTCTCGGAGCCACTCCAATTAAAGTGCCCCCTCCCCCCCCACCTGGAGCACGTGTATAAACGCCCATTGTTCTTCCCGACTACTTGCAAAATCTGTGAATATATCCCACCCAAAACAGCAAGCACATGAATGGCTTTCTGATTAATTTGACTTAAAGTTTAATATCATGAGTTTTTGTAATACAGTGGCATGCAAGGTTCCATTTAAGTTGGGGCCTACTGTTCAAAGTGGTGAACAGAGAGAGTAAGATGGAGCCCCTGCACAAAAGATCTTGCAGTCAAAGTAAGAGAGAAAAGAATGGGAACAAGGAATTAGCCTTGTATTCTTATATCCAGTTCACAGACAATAAACTGAGGCACTGAGCAATGAGAGTTGCATAGGAAGCCTCTGATTAAATCAACAGTGCATGCAGCTTACAAAGCGTGTCAGAATCATAAGCAGTAACCTGGCTTCATTTAGGAAAGATTGCAAGGCCATACTTGTTTTTCTATGCTTTCATACATGATTAAACTGTAAAACCAATGTTCCTAGCTGACTGGGTAGATTAAAAGATGTGGGCAGCAGAAGAGCACAGTGTTCTGTCTCTCCTGTTGATATAATTAATGACTCACAATAAATCTTGTAAAGGTGCCCAGATCTTGTTGTGCTGAATGCCTTCAGAAATGCTTTTAATAATAAATGTTATGCTTTACTGTAGTTCTTGGACTTTAAAACAGGTAAAGGAACGCAGATCTGGAAACGCACAGGAGCAATATATAATGGTGACTGGAAGTTTGGAAAACGAGATGGATATGGAACGTACAGTATTCCTGATCCTGTAACTAAAGGATATAAGAAAGTGTATTCAGGCTGGTGGAAAAATGACAAAAAATGTGTAAGTGATTTCCCATTCTTCCCCCAAGGCTCTTATGCAGGATTACTTTGTAAGAGGTTATTAATGGATGTCTTGATACAAGAACAAAACAATGGGCCAGATTTGGACATACATTAAAAAAAATGTTCTGTTGGCATGCTAAGAGGATGGTCCAAAGCATGAACCTCCCCCTATGCTCTCCTAATTATGAGCTTTTGGCTTCCAAAACAAAATTCTTCAGAGCATGATTTCATTGTTATATATTAGATATAGAAGATGTAGTCAGTCTCAAAGCCAGCAGTGGAGAAGAAATATTCTGTAGCTGCTGAGAGAAGGAACGAGATTAAGCGTGTCCTCAGAGTTTTACTTTTTGTTATATTTTGCATTGAAATGTGGGCTGTTGAAAGATTGCCAGCCTTGGAGACTAAAATGCATTATCTGCAGAAAAGGCTTAGTATGGGCAATAGAAGTACTAGCTTTCCTTCATTGTTCTTCCTATAAGTCGTAGCCCTATAGACATTTAATTTTCCACGGCCACTGAATCCTTGGTCTCTAATGAAATTGTCAGCAAGGAGGGATAGTTGTACTGGGAAATCTTGTTAGTGTAGGCACCTGTTCCCCAACAACTGAAATGAGATCATATATATCCAAACGACTTGCACACAGCAGTGACTACAAACCTAGGTCATATTCAAGGGAATGGTGTAGAAGTAAGAAGTTTTATAGCCTTTGATCAATCTCACAGCCCGTGTAACTAGTTACTTCCACATTTGAACTGAGTAATGGAGGCTTGTTGGAAGAGCATATATGTAAGTGTTACAAGAAGCTATATCTTGTCAACATAGGTCTTTCACAAATCATCACAATACATTAGGACTATAACACAGGTCCTTTTAGAAACAGATTGTTGCCAGAGAATACATACCTATCTTTATACCAAGGAAGTCATCCTTGAAAAAAAAGTTACTGCGGTTTCCTAGGCAAAATCCTCTTAGAAACTCTTCCTGATCTGCCAATGAAAACTTCATGTTACCCTCTGTGTCTGTTTTCAAATTAAATTAACAGCCTCTCTGACATCTAATTGACATGCACTACCATGGCGCTCAACTCTTCAGGGAGGCCTCATTTTTAATTCTTTGAAGATATATTTTGAATGATCGAGCTTTTGTGAACTATTTAGGATGATGCGCTCATTTTACTTGTCCTTTCCTTATATGAAAGCTTTCCATTTGCATCCATGAAGCTCAATGCTAGTAGCATTCTGAAAAATCAATTTTTTCCAGAACTCATTTTATTTTTCTACAGCGATAAGCTACCACTTTCCTTCTGTGGGAAAACTCATTAACACCATGTAAACGGCTCTGACTGATATAAATCTCTGGAGCAGTGCAGGCTTTTGACTCCTCAGAACAGGTGAACATATAACTAAGCCAAACAACTCTGGTGCTTCCTGTATAAAATAACATATGTAGTCTTCTCTGAGGAAATTCCTAACCAAAACCCACCACTTGCACAAACCGGTTGTCATTTCAGATGAGACACTAAGGAGGTCAGACTCTCTGGAGAATTATTAGTCCCAAAACAGTTCCTCCAGGACAGAGTTGATCCCCTTTGGCTGGGGACAGCACAGAAGCAGCTTGGAAAGATGTACTGGTGGTTCAGACAAAACGAAGACTTAATTCTCCATGGCTGCCAGTCCAACAGCTTTTGATAGCGCTAAATGAATTACGGAATTAAAAAAAATAAGAGGGGTGGGGAAGGAAGGAAACACTAAGGTTGTTTGGGGGAATTTAGGATGTTTGGGACATTGTGTTGTAGGAAGGAAAAGAGTCAGAACAATGCAGATCCTCTCCTCTGGAGTAAAGACAAACTGAGACCACTCCTTCTGCAATGTAGCTTTTATCATGGTTTTTTTCCCCTTGCCCAGAGGATTGTAGACTCACTACTACAGACATTTCTCTTGTGCCACAGCTTAGATATCAAGCCTCGTTCTGGTTCTTCACCATTTTCTGTTTTTTTTTTAATCCCCATGCATGGTTTCCTGTTTTGGGCATGGATACAGTTCTGGGTTTGTTTTATTTTTGGACCATATATTGTATTAATAACACTCAAAGGAAAGGAGGAGACAGCCCTTGCCTCAACAGGCTTATAAGTAGTATGATTCTCAAAAGCCTTGTGGGAACTTGAAGGCATCGTACCCCTCTCCAGGCTATAGGGAAAAGGTGGACATCTTGCAGCGTACATGCCAAGAGTGGCACAGGAAGCCTCTGTGTGTGGCTTGGGGCAGACCAGGGAGGGGACAGCAACAGATGGTTCAGGAAGCAGAGCAGTAGATCAGGCAGGAGAAGGGGATCAGGGACTTAAGCAGCTCCAAAATAAAAATGTATTACACTTGGCTAACCTTGCATTCATTTTGAACACCTTCTAGAAGTGAAAAATATGAGGGGTTTCTGGTTAATATAGTTTTTCAATAAATGTTGCTATGTATTCAAGATGCTGTTAAACACATAGGCTGCTAATTTGCTCGTTATTGCTATCAGGAAGCAGTTCCTGAGAATCCAGACTCCATGCACTAGATAAGCTACCTCTTGTGAATGCAGAAAATGCTTAAGCTTGGAGGAGTGAGGACCAAAACCTTGTCATTTTAGGGCTACGGAACTAGATTTTATTCAGACACCGAATATTATGAAGGGGAATGGAGCAGTGGGCAAAGAAGTGGTTGGGGCAGAATGTACTACAAGGATGGATCCATCTATGAAGGGCAATGGCTGAAAGACCAGCACAGCGGCCAGGGAATGCTTCGCCTATGTAAGTTCCAACAGTTCCTGCACTTGGGGATATGAAAACTGCATATTGACCTCCAGCACCCACAAACCTCTGATCCCTGGGTGGTCCCCCCCCTCTTCCCTAATAACGTCCTTGTATTAGGACTATGGGTTCTTCCCCCAAGTCTCTTCCTTGTCTTCAGATCTTGGGTCAGATTCTTTCATCTTTTTTCCTCTGTGATGCTGCCCTCCAGAACAATGCTGTGACTCAGGCCAGCACAAACCGCGCAGTTTGTTTATTCTTAAATTACCAGGACGGGCGAAGAACGTGTCGTAGCAAACCAGGAACTTTCTAAATGGGGGCACTGCAAAACACGACCTGGTTTTGAATGTTCAGTTTTAATTTCCGTTTACTTTGTTTTTGTTTTTGGTTTCAAGTATCATTTGAGGGCCCCTCCTTCCCTGATGTTACATTTTACCCTGGCCCCCTCCAAAGCCCTGTATTCGCTGATCAGCTCTGAGCTCAGCCTCACCGGAAATAACATTGAACCCTTCATGACCAGGAAATGTCATGGGCAATCTCAGGATAAACATAGATGTTTTGGCTCATTGTTCTGCTTGGAGTTAGATCAGTTTGAACTTGAAGCCAAGAATCCTGATCATCTTCCAATATAAGGAGAGTTTCTCTTAAAATGGTCCTGGAAGGCTATCTCCCTTCCTATGCTGCTGTTCATCCAGTTGGTTCCTCAAGTGAACTCCATACTGATTCAGCAAAGCAGAGAAAAAGCATAGGCAATGCCTTTAGTATGCACTGCATCTAAGCCAGAGAGATTGCCTCTATCTATGTAAAGTCACCTTAACCCAGTGGTTTATCCTAGTTAAATTAACAAAACCAGCCTCCCATGTATAAGTTACATTGCTCATTTGCTTTGGTCCCCTTAATATTACCCACCTCTGGATTACAAATTAGATGTCCCTCAAGACCTATCTACTCACTTTCAGAGCTCGTGCTACTTCAGGCATGGCTTAGAACCGATTATAAGTTGGATTCTCTTGGTTAAAATTAGGCAGCACAATTATTTCATGCCCACAAGCTTAATATATTCAGCTCAGCCCCTGGAAGCAGGCTCACATGCTGGAAGCTTTGCAATAGGAAAGAAAAGCAGTTCTTCAATGGAGGTCACGATGAGCTGCAGCTCAAGATTAAATTGCTTGTGCTGGCACAACGCCTGGAGAGGGTGATCTTAGACTTGGGAATCTCACTGATTTTCTGGCTCCACTTTAGACAGGTTTTTAAAACTAGACCATTGCTCATTGGCAGCAGAGAACAAGGCTGTGAACAATGCAGTGTTTCAGCTGCCTTGGAAAGTGAACAGAAGGGAGTTCCAGTGCATTTCAATCAATCCAGAGTGTTGGCCAGGTCAACCCCATGATTTGTTGGACTCCAGGCTGATGACATGAGAGAATGTAAAGGTACACAGACTGAGTAGTTGCCCCCTTTTGAGACCACTGCAGAGCAGGTGCTAAGGTAGACTGCGGCACCCTCACCATCCTGAACTTCCTCCTACAAACCTAACCCATATCCAACCTTTGTCACACGTGTGTTCAAAAGCACATCCCCGATTCTCTCCTGCTGCTTTTACCAAGTGTTAGCAATTTCCAGACACCCTCACATCCTTTGCAGTCAGCTCAGAAAAGCCGCTGCTGCTGCCACTGCCATCACACAGCAGGCTGAAGTTCCAGCGGCTCAAATCCAAAGGTGCCTCAAAGCCCATGTTATAAGTAGCTTAAAAACATTATTTTGGAAGTATGTTTTGGCCCAAAACACTACAGCTAGAAAAGAAGGGCTTAGAAGTAGCTTGACCTGACCAACCTGATAGCTTTTTATGACGAGATGCCTGGCTTTGTGGATGTAGGGAGAGCAGTGGACATGATATGCCTTGACTTTAGCAAGGCTTTTGACATGGTCTTCCACAACATTTGTGCAAGCAAGCTAAGGCAGTATAGATTGGATAAATGGACTCTTAGGTGGATAGAAACTGGGTGGATTGTTGGGCTCAAAGGGTTGCTGCAAGTTTGGCAGCCAGTATCGAGTGGAGTACCCCAGGGGTTGGTCCTGGGTTCAGCTTTGTTCAATATCTTCAGTGGTCTGGAAGATGGGATGTAGTGCACCCTTAACAAGTTTGCAGATGACACCAAGCGGGGGGTGGGGGGGTGGGGGGAGGAGTAGCAGATATGCTGGAGGGTAGGGTTAGGATTTAGAGACGTTAAGAAATCTCATGAGATTCAGTAAGTGCAAAGTCCTGCACTTGGGACAGAACAATCCCATTCACCGGTGTGGGCTGGGGGCTGACTGGTTGGGCAGCTGCTCTGCAGAAAAGGACCTGGGGGTGGCAGGGAACAAGAAGCTGAACAGGAGTCAGCAGCGTGCTCTTGGTGTGAAGAAAGCTAACAGCATCCTGGACTGAGTTAGCAGGAGCATTGTCAGCAGATGGAGGGAAGTGATTCTTCCCCTCTATGCGGCACTGGGGAGGCCACATCTGGAGTCTTGTGTCCAGTTGTGGGCCCCCCGCTACAGAAAGGATGTGGACACATTGGAAAAAGTCCAGCAGAGGGCTAGGAAAATAGGTGTGGGGCTGGGGGACAGGACTTACTAGGAGAGGCTGACGGAACTGGGCTGATTTAGTCTAGAGAAGAGGAGACCGAGGGGGATTGAATAGCAGCCTTCAACTCCCTGCAGGTTGCAAAGAGGATGGAGCTGGACTGTTCTCAGCGGGGGCAGATGACAGGACAAGGGGCAATGGGCTCAAGTTGCACCAAGGGAAATTTAGGTTGGATATTAGGAAAAACCTTCATGAGGAGGGTGGTGAAGCATTAGACCAGGCTCCCCAGAGAGGTTGTGGAATCTCCACCTTTGGAGGTTTTTAAGACCCAGCTGGACAAACCCTTGGCTGGGATCATCTAGTTGGGGCTGGTCCTACTTAGAGCAGGGGGTTGGACTAGATGAACTCCTTTCCCACCCTATTTTTCTATGATTCCAACCTCCTTCAGAAGCACAGCCTTACGTTGTGGCTGCTTTTCGATCCAAGTAGGATTCTCATTTCCTTGTAACTCTGTATCCTATAGAAGTGCTTCTTGTCAATCATGGTCCTATTATTAAATATACAGCCAAAATGCATATAAAGAGGTACCACTTGTCCAGATGGCGTACTAGGACTGGGCCTACTTCTTGGCCCTACATAGGCACATGAATATCCTGGTCTGAAGGTCATTTATAAAAGTTACTTGCAAGTTGTACTTGAAATGCAGGTTATGTTCATTGGACACAAAGGTCACCTGATATTTCTGACTTAACTGAGGTTTTAAGGAACAAGAGTCCAATATAAGTTTGCTGTACTTTAGGACAGGGTTGCTAATTCTGCTTTATTGTGAATTTTGTTTAGAACATGCATGGAAACTGAATAAAAGTCCATGAAAACAAAGTAATTTAAAAACTCATACAAGTATTTGATAGTTGTTGCTGTGTCCTCCCAGTTCTATGATAGAGCAGCTGGAGCACTATTCAGATGGAACGCATTCTGCAATGCTCGGTCTCCTCAAGTTACTCCTATAAATGGAGCTAGAATAAAGACGTAACCTGGATAAACTACCATCAGTGTATGTTTTGTTTCACCTCCGGTCACCTGGTGAAAGTGTGCCTGTTTCATTATCTGTTCCCTTTTATTATTGCATCATTATAGCACATGAAAATCGGTATGAAGGAACCTGGAAAGATGGAAAGAAACATGGGCCAGGAAAGTTTTTCTACTTGGACAAAGGACAGTTGTTTGAAGGTTTCTGGGTTGCTGATGTGCCAAAGTCTGGCACTATGATTGACTGTGGCAGGGAAGCAGCTCCAGCCCCTACTCAGTATCCAATCCCAAAGGTAACTGCTTCCCATTAGGTTTTAAAGCATACAGCTGGGTAACATTTATTTCTCCAAGTCCATATGGAATCTATTGTTGCTATGCATGAATTCAGGAGGAAACCGTACAATCATTAGGTATTGCATAGTTACCACAGCTACCTTCAGTCTGAAGCAGTGTCTGTCCTGCTCAGCACCACCAACAGCTTACTAGATTAGGGGGACCTCTAGTCTGCTTTAGTATGACTGCACTCATTGGTTGACTGCAGACACCTTGTCTGTTGTTGAAACTGTAGTTGACACCTAGCAGGTCACAGAGAAGAGAAAAAAACCCCCAATATCAGTACCTGGTAGTACCTGCCATTCAAACCACTGAGGCAAGACTTGGTTACACTTTGGCTAATACTGTGTACTTGCCAACAGCACTCACGTTCTCTACAGCAACATGGAGAGAGAAATACACACTTGGTATCCTAATAAAAGCAGGAAAGTGTAAGAACTGTTTGGAAATACTGCAGGACAAACTGAAGTCCTACTAAAAGGGATATTCTCCATTAGCTCTCGAGTAATCAGCATTTACAAAAACTGACCTTTCTTTAATTATATAGCATAATTTACTTGTGTTTTAATTTAGATTGAATTGGCCAATCCAGATGGTGTTTTGGAAGAGGTCTGGGCAATATTTGATGACAGCCAAGAAGAAGATCAAATGGATGCTGGGAGAAGATGAGAGAGTGCAGTCCTTGGTTTCCTCATTTGGAACATTGTCCTAGGTCTGTAGAACACCATATTGGGCTGCGCTCTTTAAAGCAGAGAGATCTGCAAGCTCACTCTGTTTCCAAACACTTTGCTAGCACCTCCAAACTGTCCGTGTGGACTTCTTTCTGTATTCATATTTCCAAATGAACTATTTTGCTTGGGAGTTTGGAAGCTGAAGAGACCTTGTAGGAAGAAATAATCCTGCCCACAAATATACTGAAGTCAGTGGCTTTCTCCTATGAAACAGGAAACCAACTTCTAGGCTGTTTTAATGCCATACAATACAGTCAAATAGACTGAAAGCCAAGCGCACACCCTTTACACTATCTTCCAGTCGCAAGAATTTGAGTCATGGCAGAATCTTGGAAGATGCATATTTTCCGTTCTTCAAGCCACAAACACAAAGTTAATTTAGTCCTAGTGTTAAATAAGGGACGCGCAGATGCTAGCATTGCATACTCATCAGCCAGAGACTGGCTGACAGTTGTCAGCCTGGTATTGCAGAACAAGACCATGTCTACTGGTGGCCACAGAAGAAAGCAGCTACAGCAGCCTGAATTTCTTCCTACTATAATTCCATGATGGTAGCTGCATTAACAATCAGCTTACAAACTCCTGGTAGCTTTCCTGGAACTTGATAATGTAAGAGTAATTTTTTTGCTGGATTATATACTAACTAAACAAACACGAGTCTGGTTTGCAGCCTGACTCAGGACTCCTGCATCACAGTGGCATGAAGTTAGCCTTCAGTGGAACAGCTAACCCTAAAGCAAGAGCACTAAGTGCTATCCCTACTCTCCATGTCCAGTTAATCAAATAGAATCGACCCAACAGTGCTGGTTTCTTTTTAAAAACACCCCATTATTCTTATAGGATACTTTTTTTTGAGCTGAGCTTGAATGCAACAACTAAGCCTTTGCACCTTTGAGGAGTATTTCTCATTCAAGCTCCAGTGAATAAGCTTTTTGTGGATGAACAAGGTCAGTTGGAGTTCGAGTTCTCTGCACAGCCTATAGAGCCACACTTGCATCATCTATTTAATCTGCCCTCTGATTTAGCTTCAGTGCTGCAGTCTAGCCAGATTGTGACACCCGACTGCACTGGTCACATGGCCGTACTCACTTCCACAGAGAGTGAACTTCTTCATTGAACAACTGGGGGAGAAGGGCACAGTCTTAGCTCAGTACAAGTTACTTCTTTTCAGGGCCTTTTCCCACTTGCACACGAGATGGGAGGCAGGATTTCTCTAACATGCTGTAGGAAACTGGAACATTGGAAAAAAACTGAAATGCCCTCTCTCTTGTACCCCTTCCCCACACCCCTCTTGCCTTCCCCCAACGACACTTAGTAGAACCCACCATTGCACACAGAAGCTGAGCTTCACACAAATGTCAAGCAGGCCCGACAGATCTGGGAATGGATGTTGCCACAAACCAAAATGGGCTTTGCAACAAACCGAGTTCTAATTCTTTTTCCCCCCCTGCCATCAATATAAGATTGCATCTTTCTCTCGACATTTAATACAAGTAAGGATGAGAGAATTTAACCACTCTGTGACCAAAAGTCACCACTGCCAATTTTAGCATCACATTCTACCATCACATCCCTCTGGTCTTTAGTGCGTGCGTCTACATGTTGCCATATGGCGACATAGTGACGCACCATGCCGCCCTACAGTGACATAGCAATCATGTGAATCTACACACGATAGCTATGTTGCTGTCGCAGCGCAGTCCCTGCTTATAGCGCACCACTACAGCAATGTAGCAGGGAAATCTTCATGTGTGCCGCCTGTACGGTGCAGTATGGGCAGTTATTGCTCCGTCACTAAAATACGGTGATGTGTAGACATGGCCAGTACGTCATAACCGTCAAGTAGGATTGCTACCTTGAAGTCAATGGAGCCACACCAGTAGCTTCATTTCTATATTGGTACAAGGACTTCTTTTTTGTAGCAGACTGCCACTAGGTTTTGTATGAGCACACTATTTGTATGTGGCACTGCAACCAGTTAACAAGAGCCAGTGTTATGAGTCAGGGACCACATCATGAGATCATCTGTTTACACCACACTTCCAAATATCGCTCATTTTGTTTATCGTTCTTTTAACTTTTCCTGGCTCTCATTTGAGTAAGGGTCTTCTTTTTCAGACACTCCATAGAGAATAACACCAACACAATTCTTCGTCCCAAGAAACAAGCAGTGTCAGAATTAGGAAACATGCTGAGACTATATTAAGCTTGTTATGCTGACTAACAGCCAGAAAGGATTTGCCTTTGTCTGGAAAACTAGAGAGAACTTTGTATCTGACACACTGCATGGTTAAACACTGAACATGTTTAAGAGGACATCCACAGGAACCTGGGGTTGCAATAAGTACTGAAGGTGTGCATTGTCTGGCGTCTTGACAAGATAAAATAACCATGCCAACCAAGTATATTTTTATTTAATTATTATAAAGTCATTTATATCTAAGTAAAAGCTGTATACAGTAACTGATGTTTAAAGTATCTGAGGTAAATGCTTAATACCATTAGTATAAATAAGGAATAAAAATAAAATGGTGTGCTCTACTGTTCAGAGTACACACTTGGCATTGTAAGTTCTGGCCTTTCGTCTGCCCACCGCTCAGGTGCATGGCTGCACAAGACAAGACAACTGCGCCATTTACCCGGTTGTCAAATGGAAGAAACACAAGAGCTGTGTTGAAAAGTGCAGTTATAGTCAGAAAACATATGGTCATAATGACACTCACTTAAAAGTACAGTGTTACTTGTAGCTCCACATTTTCCTCTACTGCTGTATGAAAGACTTGCAACATACAGGTAACAGACTACTTTTGTCCAGGCAAACAGTATAAGTGATTACATGGAATAAGCTGGGGAAAAAAAGTGCTAACTTCTCATTCACAATCATTTTAAGAGAGTTGCAATTGTGGACACAACATTTTCAGGGGGAAGTATCCCCAGACCTGATAGTGTCCCTTTGATTCTGTTTGTACACTAGTGCAAATAATTCAGGCTGGCTTGGTTTACAATGGCTTTGTAAAAAGCTAGTTTCCCCAGGAAAAGGTAGATATTGTTAGCTTTAGTACTGTCAACAATTTTAGTAGAGGATGGGAAGATAGATCAGTGGTTCTCAACTTTTTTTGATTTCAGGCATCCTTGACAGACTCAAGACACCCCACATTAGACTCGGGGTTCCCCTCCAGAACCTGGCAGGGAAGATTCGCAGCCTGTACTTCTGTCCCGTCGCTCTGGTTGAGAATCACTGGACTAGAGTTTAGGCCTAGGCTGCTACAACTTTCATAACTGTTTTAGAGTGCTGCTCCAACAACTGAAGTAAATGTTTACTAATTTAATCCCATCAGCACTGTAGGAACGAACAGCCACGGCACAACTGGAAGGATTCTGGTCGTAAACAAAATCATTAATTTTATTTTGGTTACAAAGACTACAGGCCGGCAACATCAGAACCAGAATGAATCCAGTTCAACTTTCAGAGTCCAGGAACAATTTGTGGGGATGGCACTTGGGAAGGGGTTTTCTTCCTTGCTAATTAACAAAAGTATACTGGATGCAAGACTGTTTAAGACAACTATGGTACTCCTCCTTTGACATAATTTCTGAATATAAACTGCACTTTTGGTCTAGCCTGTCTATCAAGTGTGGTTCCAAGAAACCAGTCCCATTCACATCAGTGAATGGGAATAAACACCACACATTTGACAGGAAATCTTTGCAAAATTAGGACCTTATTTATAAAGCGCATTGAGATATCTGGAAAAAGAGGGGCTGGGTGTAATGGACTAAATTTAAACCAGGCATAAAAAGGCACAACTTCCATCAGGCTGAATCCGATACAATAAATCTCAAAATTACACTCTCTAGCATACAGCTATGAGTGGGGTCCCTGTTCTTTTCCAGTGGATTTGAAGAGTCACAAACCAGTATTTCCTGGATTAAAAAAACACCAACCCAAATCCTTTTCACATTAAAACCAAATCACTTTCATCCTTCAGCAATGTCAGGAAAACCCTGCAAAAAACAATTTACTCGTAAATAGACCTGGAATCAAACCCACTCTGAAAGAATCAGGGACAAAACTTGTAGTCCTCAGGCAAAATAACCCTTCTCATTGAAGTCAGTGAAAAGAAGTAGTTTTCACCTGAGGAACTATACAGTATATTTGAGGGAGAAACTTCGAATTTTGAGATAACAGCTTGAGGTTAAAAACAGTAGCCTCATTCTATCAAAGATGCATGTGTCTGAAAAAAGTAAGCAGCAATATTACAAATCACCCATTTTCATAAATAAGTCTATATAGAAAGTAGTCTTCCAGCACCTCTTGGAAGCATGATCATAGAAGACAAAAATTATTAAAATCCTAAATACAACAACATTTGAGCAAGCAGTTTTTTCTAACAAAACCAAGGCATAGCTAATTACTTGGGAGTCTAACACAGACCTTTTAAGTGCCTTTTACTGTCTGTATCAGAGAATTTATTCAAAATATATATATTTTTATATAAAAAAAAGTAGAAAATAATTGCTACTTTGGCTTGAAAGAACAGCAATTGTTCCGGCATAATTAGGTGTCTACCATTTTTTGCCATGGATAGGACTCCCTCCACCCCCCTCCACATCACACTACTAGCAACAAGTTCTCAAGCAAAAAAAGTCCAGTGATAATTTCCATTTAGCTTTCTTCTTTTCTTTTTTTTTTCTTTTTTAAAAGGTTCCTAAATAGAAACAAGCACTTTTATCTTTTCAGATAACATGTGCTGGCTCAAAGATATTACAGCAGTTATTGCTTTTCTGTACATTTTCTTCCAAAGAAGAATACAGGTAGGGCCTCAGTCCTACTGATGTGGCTCATATCACATCATAAAAAGACTGGTCCTGAAGGGTTAGATAACTTATAGCTGCCACAGCAAGTGGTGCTAGAGTAATAATTACCTGGCAGCAAAATATGACTTGGGGAGGCCAAGGGAAAAGAAGGGTGTGGTAGGGGAAGCTTTCATTTTAAG